CCACCAAATCCCATTCAACCCACACAGCCTAATACTAATACTGACATCTGCTTGTCTCCATTGTAAACCCCACAGTTCACTCATAAATACTGAGGCCCAGAACCAATATAGTTTCTCTGAGGTCAGAGATCAGTTTTGCAATAATACCACCATTAACAGATCTGCCTGGGTTGAGATTGAGAATGAGCTAAGTTTCAAACAGTGAAAGCAATCATCCAAAAATAAAGAAATAAAAATAAAAGAAATACCAGTATTTGAATTTTGACCTGAAAGCACTCAATAATTGTCTTTTTCGCTTAATAAATGACCTTAAAAATGACCTGTCAAAATAATCAACCACCAGATTCTGAAAAAAGATTTATTTACGCATGTTTATTAAAACAAGAAAAGAAAAGAAATGTAATGTAATAAATACATTGATTGCATGAGCTTGAAGAATTACATTTATAGTAATGAGCCCAGAGGCATTGATCCAACTTCTATTGAACAATCCACTCATCCAACCAATCAGAAAACAAGTCAGGCCATCAGTCAAGGATAAGTGACATCCTGCAAACAGAGATGTCACATTAGGACTGCGAGTATAACAGTTCACCTATGCAGCTGCAAAACTAGCAGACACAGCAGGCACTGGGGCGTTAGATAATTCGCCCCCAAAAGCAACTCGAGTCATCTCTTTGTCAACTCCTGCCCTTGCCCTCTTCATCCCTCCACCCTCTGTCCTTTCACCCCTCCCAGTGGATCAGCTGTGATCTCCTCTCTCTCCCCTTTCACTCAGATCAGGATTAGAAAGAAGGGAAGGTGGAGGGAGCTGCAGCAGTAGCAGCAGCAGCAGGAGAAGGGGGAGAGAAAACTGAAACAATATGGAAAGGAGATTAGAAAAGAGGGGGTTTGGGCCGTTTGGGGAATTGCAAACTCCCTTGTGCTTGGGTAGGTGTCCTAATGACACTGCCTAATTATGGCAAAATTAGACAGGCTAAAGGGAGGGTGGAGGGGGGTGTTGGTGAAGGAGATGGTAATGTGACGGAGAAAAAAAAGAGGAGCACGGGAATTAAGCAATAGGGAGTTAAAATAGTAAGCATGTGAGAGCAAAAGGGCGAGAGGGGTGTGCAGAAGCGCAGATACAAACTGGGGCAGGTGGAAAGGGAGCAATGCACTGAGGGTGCGAGGAGAAGGAGAAAAGAAGGAAGGAAAAGGGTAGAAAGCAGTGGTGGTGGAAGGGAGTGGGCCCCAGCACGCTGCATGTTAATTGGAGAACAGGTGTTAGGGCTGGGAGCAGGAGGCTGATTACTGGAGCCACAGAAACTGACTGTCTCCTCCACACACACACACAGAAGTGCACACACATACACAAATGCGCATAGGCTTCAGACACACACACATGAATAATTTAAGACCCAAGCAAGGACTAGGGGAAAAGGTCAGTGTAGGGGTCAAAGAGACACACAGACAATCGTACATAGATCCATATACATACATAAATAAACATCCCCACAAGCATGAAAATATACATTCGTTTGCGTGCATGCAAACGATGCATATGTGTTATAAACTTCCTCCTAGTTGAGCATACATACATTGAGCATATGGAGAAAAGTAAGGACACCTCTGATTGGGCAAAGCAGAATTCCACCAGCTTAGCAGAAATTAACTGGCTTCTAATAGGTGGGTCCCTGAGGAGGGGATTTTGTAGGCTAATCGAGAGGGAGAAGCCCCCATCAGGACAGGATATGGCCAGTGTGATTAGAGAGTACAGTAGGTCAATGATTTAATTTAAATCAATCCTCAGAGCTGCACATCAGCCTGCACACACACACACACAGAAAGTCACAAAGAAATATAGACTGTTTTTGTTTTGTTTTTCCTCACCAGAAAACCGCCAATCTACTTAAAAAGCAAATTTCAAAGCAGTTTAGCCATGTTAGGAGGAAGTATAAAAAGGGTGCGGAGGGAGCGATTGTGAGAATAATGTTCTAGAGTAAATGGGAAAAGCAGCTGCTCCAAGGTATTCTGGGAAAATTCATACAACAACAACCCGATTTTTCCGTTATATGAAAACTATCTTCATCTGAGATCCTCTGAGACACACTGTCAACAGCCAGCCGGCTTGAACTGAGGAGAGGAAAGAAAAGGGTCCTTGATATATGTGAAGTGAGTGCTTTCTAGACAGACAATTGCAGGGAAGGAAAGAAGGAAGGAGAGGGCAAAGGAGGGAGTGAGGGAGAGAGAGGTGATGAAGGTTGCCCCATGACATCACACAGTAGGTATTTCACATACGGTCTGCTTATGAGTATCAATCACGCTGGTTAATGCCAGGCAGACAGTGTGGGACCTCCAAAAGCCCTTTAGACGTGAAGACTCTCACACACGCTGATTACAGGGGTGGTCATCTCCCTTTAAGCCTGATAACTGGCCCTCAGGGTGAACATTAAGTACATATGTGAGCCTGTCTGGTGGTGTGAATGATCCACATGCTTCTGATAAAAGTAAATCTGTGCTTTTGTCAGGTCTCAGGTGCAAATGAGTGACCAAAGTGAAACAGATCCCAGCAAGCTTGAAGATAGATCAGCCAATAAACAGAACGCCGCAGACAGAAAGACACATGGGAGACAGACACGGGCGCTTTTCACTGGATGTTACCGCCTGTTTGCAGTGATGTGGTGCAAATCGCCCCGGAGAAACAATGAACATACTTCCCATGGAGAAGAAGAACAAGATTGACATGTGATGCATACACGCACAGTTAGGTATTATGTCTTAAATGAACAGAGAGCATATGTAAGCTTCTTCTACAGTTGGTGCAGAGGGGACTGTTGTGAGAGTTTAGATAGTATAGATAGGTGATGGTTTGAGGTGATGGACACTGTGTGGGACATGCTTTACCTGTCAATGATGACTGGATCGGACGGCGTCTCATTTCGATTGCCACAACTTTTCTTCTCACAACAGCGACTGAGTGGGCGGTTAAAGAAACAGGAAAGTGGAAAAAGTTAGCATTGTGGGAAAAAACAAACAAACAAACCCCACCAACAACAACAAATTAAACAGGAGGAGCCACCATTTTTCTCTGACCCATCCACATCCATAGACCCCGGCTGCTCTGCCCCACAGTGGGCCGTGATCCAGGAACACACAAAAGCAGCATGGGAGGGGTGGGGAAGAATGGACAAAAGAATAAAAGAGGAAGAAAAGGTACAACAACACACCCTACAAACAGTGAGGGACCATTGAAAAAGTGAAAAGCCAGCTAGGCAATCTGTCACATTGATTTTGAAATCAAACTCAACCCCCACGCAGCTTCACTGCGCACGCACACCGTCCCATAACATCCTACCATTCGTCAGCGGTCTTGTCCAAGGAGCCTGCTGGCCAACCAGTCCCCCTCAACAACCCCTCCCAAAGCCCCCAACTCCCCTTCACTGCATAACAAAAGTGCCCCCACCCCTAACCATCTGCCACCCCTACACCTCGCCTTACCCCTCTCGTGTCCCAGCTTGGCCCTGCCCTGCCCCCCCTCCGCCCCCCTGTCAGACGGCCTCACTCCCCAGCTGTGACGCTTGCCCTCTGCCTCTTCGGCTCTGTTATTAGCCAGCTGTGAGTCACATTCGGGCATCTGCTGGCTACACAATGGCAAAGCTCACTCTGCTTCAGCCCTCCTCCTGATATTCCAGTCCCCCTAGCCTTCTTCCTGTGGCCCTCACATCCTATAGGTCAAGGCCCACTTCCAGACACTCTTAAAGTTCTTCTACATCCACAAAAAAAACAGCTACCTAAGCCACGACCAGCCTTCTTAAACTCGCTCTGCTTCCGAAGCTGCTCTTTGGCACTGGCTGCACCACCGCACTTGTCATCCAGTGCCGATAAAGTTCACGCATGTCTAAACATAATTTTTATTTCCATGAGCCAAAAGCAGATTGATCCCCTAAAGTGTTTGCTGCTGTCAGTTGATTTCTGACTGCGAAAACCACAGGCCCGAGAGAGTGGAGCGCTCCAAGACGGAACGGGAGCTTTCCCAGGGACATGCTGCCTCACAGCAGACAGCAGCGGTGGGTTACAACTGTAACAAGGACGATGATGGACAACCTAGACTTACAGTTCAATAACAGGGTAATTTTTTTAAAAAGTACAGCCCCAAGCATCACCACAAAACCCATTTAAAGCTGACTGAGACAAAACAAAGTGAAAGAGTGTAATTGATATAAGTACTTGACATTTGTAGGTGCAGGTTAGTGTTAGTGTGTGTGTGTGTGTGTGTGTGTGTGTGTGTGTGAGAGAGAGAGAGACACTCACCTGCACATAACCTCGTGTGTGAGCAGAACTCGACACATTTCTGGATTCTTGTTTTGTCCCTCATACGATATGGGCTGAGAGGAAGAAGCAAGGGGCAAAGGGTCAGACTGAGTTTCATGTAAAAGTAAATTAACTGCTGTTTCTTAAAACTCTAAGAGGAATCCTATTCAAGGGAAAACTTTAGGAAAGTTTAACAACCTGTTTAGTGACGGAGTCGATAAGTCGTGCATAAAGATCCTGCTCAGTGCGAACCCCTGCAGGAAAAAAAAAGAAAATGTCACTTTTTATAAAGTGTTTCAAGCATGAGAACGATTCTGTTACACTGAAATAATTGTCATTCTTTAGTTGGATGTAAGCTGCGGGTAGAGGCTACTGAAGCTTGAAAGAGACATTTCTATTGTGCTGGAAACCTCCAAAGAAGAGATGCTCATTTTAAATTAATTGCAAAACATAACCGATCTGTCACATTAAGCGCTTAAACTCTCTTACCTCTCCTAACCACTCAGCGATAAATCTCTGTGGATTCTCAAAATAAGATGGAAAGATTTATGATAGAATTTTTTTTTTCCACAGTATCTGGATAGGCTCTAAGAAAAAAAGCATTGAACTCTGTCCAGCCAACATGGAGGAACAAGATTGGCATGCAGTTCAAATTTCCTCTCTGATGGTTTCTGAGGGGATTGAGTTATTTGATGTCTGATGATTATTACTCATATTCGACTCTAAGGCCACAATTTATAACCAGAATCTCACGACTTGTCAAGCTGTTCCTTTTATGGTTGTTCCTGTGTGAAGCTATGACTGGCAGGAGACATTCTGCTGCGTTCGAACAGGAGCTGATCGGCTTATTAAAGAGTTTAAATGAAGAAACAAACGGGTTGTTTCTTTTTTAAAACATTTCTTCTTACTTGCATGTAATCAGGTGTGTCTCTTTAAAACTTTGCCTCGGGAGAAGGAGACAACACGCACTGAACTACTCCCTCAGAGGAGACCACGCTGCCTGTGAATTTTTTCATGGAGAGTTTGGAAAGTATTGCCTTTAAAATGTGCTCCTTTCATCAAAGTCTCGATTGAGTTGCCTTTGATAACGCTTGGGGGAAGGGGATGAGAGGAAGTGCTTTTAGTGTACTTGTATGTATGCGTGTGTATCAGCGGGTTGCTCTGGAACGCGTCTTTTATCTTCTCTCCCATGGGTGCCACTGCGACAGACTTGGGGCAGCAGTGGCTCATGGGAACCAAATTTCTGTGTATCCCCCCTGATCTGCTGTGGAAGCACCATGGGGGAAGTGGAAAGAGGAATCGAGGAGCTGAGGAGGTGTTGGGATGGGGAGGCAGCGTGCACCTCATTTCCCTATACATGGGTCCATAAGTAACAGCTTGAAAAGCTGAACAGTAAATTGTATAAATCTAGTGATACGAGCTAGAGGGGAAATTAATGGGTAAGTCAAGAGCAGAGGTGTGTGTCAGGTTTGTCCAATTTTTGCTCATCTTTGAACCTACTCACCATTGCTGTAGAGGAGCTGCAGCTTGTAGTGAGTACCGTTGTTGGTCTTTTCTCCCGTCTGCTCCTTGCAAAAAGAGAGGCAGGCGTACAGACAAATGCAGAGAATACAGTTAGGCTCGCTGGGGTACAGATAAGCACAGCTGGGCATCAGTAAACAGGGTTAAGCACAGTGAGTCTTGCCTAATCCTGCAGCTCGCCCTTCCCATGGAGCAGCATCGAGATCAGAGAGTTGTAGGCTCAAAGCTCATTTGGGACCCTGTGTTGTGCTCATAAGCTGAGCACTTAACCTTGAGTCGGATATTCTTTGTAGAGGTTGAACTGTCATCTCTGATACAAATGCCTAAAAAACCCCTCGGATCAAATGCAGTGGTCCTCGCTGCAGTGAGGTAGCAGGCATGGCTATATGCACTTGTGTGTGTGAGGGCAAAGTGTGTTCCAGCG